CACGAAATGTTGATGGCAGTTCGCTATGAGTCAGACTGGGAATGGCAGGAAGAGAGCCTGACACTGATAGACAGAAGGGTGCAGGCATTTAAATTATTGTTTATTTTCTGCTACCGCTTTAGATTTTAACTATTATATTCAGCCATTACTGTCCTGATGTAAGAACCTAGTTACGTTTGAGGAAAACACACCTTTGCAACCGGAAGAGAACGAAAGTATAAGCCGGGCATGTGTCTATTTTGGTGACCACCTTTACAGAGCGAAAGGCCTTTTCTCCGCGGCCCTTTGGGGAGCTAAAATTGACCATTGGAGAGCTGCCACCGAGGACTCTCTCTGTCTATTAAAAGAAACTGGCTTAGTCTGGGGCCCTGAGAACTCGGTTTCGAATGCCTTGTGCACCCAGTGACTTTGCTGTCCCCTACTCCCCCGGGGTCCCCAGCTCCATCTTACCCTTAGCCAAGCTCTCCGGCCGCCCCTCGCCCCTCGGGGTGTGTGTGGCATGGAAGGCTTCTCTACTAGACAGAGACGGGAGGGGAAAGGAAGCTCAGCCTCGGGCTGCAATGAGACCCTGTCGCTCCAGGTGGGAGGGGCGATGGCCTTGGCAAGGCCAAGCGGCTTGTGAGCCGTCACTTGTAACAAACAGAGCAGGCTCACACCTCTCAATGACAAGCGGGCTTGAGCTTCTGTCGAATCGAGGCACAGATTCGAAGCAAAGCAGAAATGCGGACTCTGGTGCCAGCCGCCTGTACACCTGCTCCATCCGCCGTCCACTGCTTGTGTCCCCCGCACGGTGTCCCGCTACAGTTCGGTCCACGTGTCGTCAGCTCACTCTCCCCCTAACCAGCCCATTCAGTTATGGGGCCAAGTCCACTACCTGGCAACTCTTTCTCTGACTCTTACATAGTTTTCATTACGCCGATTAGAAAATCATCCTTTGAGCATCGACCCTCTTAAAAACCAGATGTTAGACTAGAAAAGCATGTCATTTGGAATCGCAGGTCTTAGTTTGAATCCGTGTCCTGCCTCTGACGCACTCTGCGACCTCCATTCAGCCAGTTGCTACATCTCCTCGAGGCTTCCTTTCCCAGTCTAGAAACTGGGCTGTTATCACTCTCGCCGGTCATTTTGAGATGAAGCAAACTGGCCCGTGTAATCCACAGCACACCACGCCTGGCGGAAGCAGGTGCCTCATAAACCTCAGTTCCCTCCCTCCTGCCTCCCCACTCCCTCGGCTTTACCGAGATCCTGGCGATGACTCCCCACGAGCGTTCTCATCTCCCGGGCCAGGGCGGGAGGAGCGGCGGCATTCATGACATGGTGGAAGAAGCAAATTTGAAGTCAGAGGATCGAGGTCAGAGTCTCATCTCCATCTTTTATTAGCTGTCAGACATCTTGGGCAAAGCACCCATCCAGCGACCTCAGTTTTCTCATCCGTAAATTGAGGATAATACAAATTGCCAAGAAAATTGCAATGGATGTTACAGATGCAAAGATGGAAGCGCATCTTAAATCTTAGCTGTTGTTAGTATGTTCACCTAGCCCAGTGTCTCTCTCCTTCCAACTCATGGCGTTTCGGTCTGTCTTCCTGTCATCCTTTGGGCGATTAATTGCGAACCACCCACCATCTGACATTTGCGCATTGTATGACTTCATGTTTTCGGTCTGTTTCTTTCTGTACGGTGCACGCAGTCTAGCCCACGCCTCTCCTGTACTAGGCGACCTCTGAGTATCTTGGATACAGCCAGGGAGGTTCTGGAACGAATATAAGCGTATTACTAATAGCATTTTTAAAGCTCCAAATATCAACAAGCTGATGAGGAGTAACTTTACTTTTTATGTACTTATTATGTCTTTTTATTTCTATTATATCTTTTATATCTTTTTGTTTCAAGGGATGTATTTTGTATTTTATTTGAAAGGATAATGATTATTTTATGTTCATAGGCTCATAGAGGGTTTTTAAATTTTTCTTAAAGAATTTAAAAATAGGCTTTGTAGTCAAGGAATGAGCTGCTTTCTGGGCTCGGGCAGTATGCAGAGGGTGCAGGCCAGTGGGCCTGTCACAGCTGTGTCAGGCATGGGGGAGGGGTCTAGGTTTCTATGAGTGATATAGAAGACACCATGGGTCTGTCCTCCCTTCTGGACTGACCAGTAGGTAGGGATCTGGACCTGCCTACTTCCTCTGCATAGCACTGGCACTTTTTATTTTCTTTTAATTTATTTATTTAACTTCGTTTCAAGTATACAGTACATTGGTTAGACATCTATATAGTTCATAAAACGATCCCCCCAATTGCACCCTCCCTCCGCTGGCCCTCCACCTAGCCATTGTATTAATGCTCACTGCATTCCCTCTGCCGTGCTCCCCATCCCCGTGACCAACTGTCAACTACAAAATTTAACCCTTCACCCCGTTCTCCCAGCCCCCCAACCCCCCTCCCCTCTGTCCATCACCAAATT